ACACCTGCTAAATACACTCACCACACACGCACAAACGTGACACACGTGCACACTCATTCCAGACATCACACCCCTCACCAAGTACACAGGTGCACACACCCCCAGTCCAGAACCTGCAGACTCCACAAGCTTTGGTTTCCCCACTTTTTCATCACATGAGATCACACACAGGTGTCATTTACTGACATCTAACACCCAGGGAGGCCCTTAGAACTGCAGTCACAAGTCGGCTTCATTCAGGCATTCATCACCAGTCTCCGAAGCCACCTCCTGTCCCCAGGGGAGGGGGGCGAGACCGGAGACGTCACTGGGCTTACAGATCCCCAGGCTGGAAACCCAGCGAAATCAGGAGGGCTCGGCCACGGCCCTGGAGGGAGACGGGTACTGGCCCAGGTATGCGGAACATGGTCCTCATTTCCATACAGGCCACCTACGACAGCATCAGTGAAAGCCAGTGGTTTGGCATTCCTGGGACAGACAGTCCTGGAATTACAAGGGAAGCTTTTTACTCCCTTCCCCTCTGAACACATGAGGTCCATGGTTCCCTCACATCTAACCCTGGGAATCGGAATCAGTGACTCCTTGTCCACCTGAACCACCCAAGAGGATCCCACACCTGCTGCAACAGCAGCACTGCACCTGGTCCGCACGGGAGCAAAGCAAATCCCACCTTTTACTAAAACTGGATTATCCCGACACTGGCAGCCTGCAGTGTATATATCGTCAAGCCCTCACAACTGCGCCACCTGCAAGAGGAACACAACCCTTAGTCCCAGGTTCTCAGGACGGCCTGTGAGGTGGATGCTGGCACCTTCTCATCTCCCAGTGGAGGAGGAGAGGGAGAGAAGGCCAGGGTCAGGGCTGGCGTATCAGGAGGGTCAGGGTTCAAAACCCCATCTGCCTCACGAAGAAGCCCTTACTGTTCAAGTGACTTCTATCATCAGCCTTAAAAATGTACCACAGTTACCAGCAATTCTGAGTGCTGTTCCCTGGACATCATAAGCAAACATTTTGCTAGAAAGATTTTGCCAAATCTGCTTTCAAAATCCTATGTTATGAAATGTCTAATGAAAATCTGAGCTGTGAAATAAAGCACATATTTAAATGAATCCCAAAATGACTATCACGAAGGAAGTTGTAACTTGAAGTGAAAAATATCCTCTAATGACATCAGCCAGAATTATCTTCTATCATTACTGATCCCATATGCTTAATGAATTTACAACATCATCTCAGATATGAACTTAAAACCATTAGCTGAATGCACGTTTTAGCACAACCAAAGTTCTGCTCTAATAAGCAGCACAGGCGTCTCTGGAGAGGATTTTAATTGGGACTACAATGCGCACGGTGATGGTAAGAGGTTTCATGCCGGCTGTTCTCCAAGGTGCAACACAGAACCACCACTAACCTCGAAGACACCTTTGTAACGAGATGATGAGAGACGATGTGGACAGAATACTGTAAATATTTGAAAAGGAGAAACAATGCAAGGAAAGAATCTTATCAGTTACTCTTGACATTCTTAGAAAAAACCGATTTCTCTTTTGGGATGATTAAAAAGAAAATGATATTTCTGGATTTTTTTTTTTTTCTTTCTGAGACAGGGTCTTGGCTTGTCGCCAAGACTGGAGTACAGTGGAGCAATCGCAGCTCACTGTAGCCTTAAGTGATCTTCCCACCTCAGCCCCAGAGTAGCAGGGACCACAGGCATGCACCACCACACTCAGCTAATTTTTCTGTATAGAGATGTTATAGGATGGGTCTTGCTCTGTTGTCCAGGCTGGTCTTGAACTCCTTGGCCTCAAGTGATCCTCCTGCCTTGGCATCCCAAAGAGCTGCCATTACAAGCATAAGTCAGCTGCCCAATCTTTTTCTTAATTCTATAACAATTGTGCCACATTCAGAGAAAGTATAACTATTATAGAAGAAACTTGGTGAAGCAATATGTTGATACAAAACAAAATGGTACAATTCTCATTTTAAATTTAGTTTGAAATTGTTCCATCATCACCCACTACAAAAAAATGAATGTTATACAAAGCAAAGTGATAGCTCAAATCAGGTTTTACAAAGAAGTCCAATAGATTATGATTCCAATTGTATGTTTATTTCTAGATTTAGAAAGTAAGTCATAGCCAACTTCTACAGTTTTGTTGCCATAGGCCAAGATTAAATCAAAATGGTGCGAACGTGCCTCAGGGTGCGGCAGGGAACCCCATGCCCACCGAGCACGCATACGCAGAAATATTTTGCCCAAATCTATTTTCCAACATTAATTAAAGAGTCCCAGATATACTTCTCTCTCTCCCCACAAAGGTATGTGAGGTCAAGTTTATCCTAGTATTCGTAAAAAGGCTCAAGTGAAAAAGGGAACAGCAATGCTCAGGCGACTCACGCAGGCCCCGCAGACGCTCTAGCAGAAGGGACGCGGCACAGGCAGGGCTGTGAGTGCACCCTGCTAACCTGCTAACCTCATGGTGCAAGCACCCGAGGCTCTACAGATTCCATCCCAGAGTTAGTGGAAACTCCATCCTAGCACCGGGATGCTCTGGTTCCTAGATCTACCTGCTTTAAGATATGCGTGAACTGTCTTACTCTACACACGAGACTCACTAGGAGACACTTCAAGCCTAAGCACGATTTTATCGGAAAATAGACATTCCAGCAAATGCATTTCTATAAGATTTCTCTACCTCTTTTCACTGGGGGGGAATAAAAGGTAACTTGCCTCCAAGGGTTGGAGACAAAGCTGTTACTGCAGACAAGAGCGCTGCGCACCCCGGGAACTGCTGCGCCACGAGGACCGTGCACCCTGGACGCAGGAGTAGCACACGAGGCTAGCACAGGCTGACGCCAGCTCTCTCCAGAAGCAGGCCTGTCCTTCCTCCTCCCTCAGCCCCCAGCTCCCAAGCTCCCTTCCCCAGGCCTCAGTGGCTGCTGACAGGGCAGAGGCCACCACTAGAGGAGGCTCTCAACTCCACCAGGGACAGGAGCCCCGGACGCTGGGGACTCCGCTGCTGCCCTCCGCGCCCACCTCCCTCTGCTCCGCCCTTCTCAGGAGCCAGGCGTGGCCACTTTGACCCTCCTTCCCTTCTGTGGCTCCTACAAAAACCAGTCCAGCGAGCCCAGGCTGCCTCGGGTTGAGCATCCCCAGCCTGAAATCCAAAGTGCTCCGAAGAGCATTTCCTGCCAGTGTCATGAGGGAGAGCTCGGAATGTTTCAGCTTTCAGCGCATTTTGGAGTAGGGACGCTCAGCCTGAATTTGAACGTCTTTCAAGGCGGCCACACACTGAAGCCCCCGATGTCCGCCCCACACAATCCCAGCACACCCTCTGAAGTCCTCAGCAACAGCAGATTTTCTTTCTTCAAAAATTAAAAAAAAACACAAAAACCCAAGTCACATAAACTCACACGCAACCACTGAAGGGGGTTGTGGACACCTGCAGAGACTGGATGAAATTTAACTGTCACATTTTTACCAGGGTAATTTAAAGTCATTCCTCAAAACACACCTGGTTTTACTGAGCTGCATTTTAAGGTGAACACACACAAATCATTTCGGGGAAACAAAGGTCACTTTGGGCTGTGTGTGGTTTCTTGACTCCTGTGAATAACTCAGCGTTCACCCTCACTTCTGGATAAGGGAGAAGATGCAAAGAAAGTTGTTAAAACAAAGACATGGAAACAAGTTTAAGAAGGGTTTGAAAGGTTCCTCCTGTCCCCCTGGAGGGGAGGACGACGACGCCTGGAAGGCTTACGGGGGACGGGCACAGCTCCCGGGGGGAATGTGCTGGGGGGAGGACGTGGGGCTCACGGGGGTGGGAGCACAGCCTCCTCAGTGCTTTCTACACTCAGCAGCTTCAGAAATTCCCGTAGAAGCAGAACGCGTGAGAACCGAGACCGGAACACACCCCAAAGAAAGGGGATGAGGGGTCAACCAAAGCATTCGCTCATTACCAAGGAGCACGGGCAGGACGCCGCTTCAAAGAACGTGTGAAAAGTCACTCACGGGTGTTTCAGAAAGTACGGGTAGCGTGAGATTGCTCGATCAGTTCAAACAGGCTGCCATCCCCCAGGCCATGAAGCCCCCGACATGAGCCTCTCACGGTGAACAGAAGTCACTCGCACCTCTGCCAGAGAAAGTCCTACAAGCCGACACGTGACCTCACGAAACCTGGCCTTCAGCCCGTCGACCACAGTGAGTCTGACACGGTACATCCCTCCAGATGGTTAAAGACCCAGGGGATCAGACAACCTCAAAGGGACTGTGTCTGACCAGCCCCTTTCCAAGTTCTGGACGATTTTTCTTAATGTACTATAAGCAGGCATGTTCCAGTAGAGACGTCATTAACTGGCTCTGGGGTCCTCTTAATTTTTGAAATTAGAAACATGCTTGGCCAAGCACGGTGGCTCATGCCCTGTGATCTCAGTATTTTGGGAGGACTGAGGAAGCTGGACTGCTTAAGTCCAGGAGTTCGAGTCCAGCCTGTGGGAACATTGCAAAGCTCCATCTCTACAAAAAAATAAGCCAGGCATGGGGACATTGTGGCCTGTGGGTCCTGGCTACTCAGGAGGCTGAGGAAGGGAGGATCGGCTTGAGCCTTGGAGGTCGAGGCTGCAGTAAGCTGTGCTCACACCACTGCCTGGGCAACAAAAGTGAGACCTTGTCTCGAAAAAACCAAAGAGAAAAAGAATTATATACTGGCTAGGCCAAAATAAGAGGCCTGGTGGGACCACCTGAAACACAGCTGCAAATTCTGGCAGAGCCTCCCTGGCTTGATTTGTGGTGGGCGTGGGACCGCTCTGAAGGATAGGACCCCAGGCACTTTCCGAGACTAGACCTTATAGTACAACTTGCCCTTACTGGAAGGAACACTGGTCTTGGAGCCTGGGACACCCTGGGGGCAGTGCCACCATCTCGAGGCTGCCATGGCACAAGGAGGCCCTAGCATCATGGAGCCTGAGATGTCCATCGGAGCAGGGCCCCCGACCTGAGGCCGCCATGCCAGGGGAGCCTGGACATCATGAAGCCTGGGACATCCTGGGGCAGTGCCACCAACCCGAGGCCGCTGTGACACACGGGGGCCCTGGTGCCCCTGAGAGGCTGCACAGCAGGTCCAAGCCCAGGCCAGGAGTGAAGAGGCTCCACATCCTTTCCATCCCTCCAGCTGAGGCCACAGACGTCTCGGAGCAGAAGTGCATCACCCTCAATGTCCATGGGTAAGTTTTTGGCAACAGAATCTGGAAGCATAAAAGATGGCTCTGGGTTGGTTGGTTGCTGGCTCGGACCAGGGCTCAGGCTTCTGCTTATGACCTGTCCTCTTTCCACACAAAACCTGGCTCACACGAAGCAACGTCTAAGTCCTGGAAGACCTGCTACACACAAGTGCAGTTACAAAGCGGAGAAACAGGGATGCCTGGAGGGGGCCGGGCCGGGCTGTGCTCCAGTGGCACCGGGGTTTCTCAGGAAGACCCTGGGCATTACAGGGTCCAGGGCACGGGCTTCCTGGGATCCAGGACATGGAACAAGCACCCATTCCCCGGTCCTGTTGAATATGAATCGGCTAAGGGCCGATTCCCTCGGAGGACTGAGCACCGCTCCACAACCCATACCAAGGTAATAACAAGCCCAGTACGAGCAGAAGGCTGGTGATGAAGACACGAGGACCAGATGAACATGAGGCATCCTGACAGATCAGCCCTGGCACCGAACAAGGGGCGGACAGCCCCGCCTGTTCCTGACGCATCAGCCCTGGCACTGAGCGAGGGGTGGCAGCACGACCTGTGCCCCTGCAGATGCAGAGGGATGTGAGGGGGGCGCAGACCCAGCTTGGAGGCTAATCAACCACCTCCGCTTGCACTTCCGTTCCTCATGGCGGGGAGGCGAGGCACAGGCAGCATTAGCGCTCACCTTGCCCCCGGGCTGCATTTTTTTCTGCTTATGAGTCGTGTTCGCTTTACGTGGACAGACATAGCCATAATAACGGTTCCCTGAGTATTTTGCTGCCTACATAAAGGCTTTCAGAATTCACTTCCATCCTTAGGAAAGGCGGCCAACACCAGGTTGTCTCCCTAAGATGCCATGTCTATATGGGGGAAAAAAAGCAAGAGAAATCAAATAAAGGCCATAAAATACATCAGTTTCAACATTAAAATTTAATAGTATGCTTTAAATTGAAGATGAGTTAAGTCACATTTCCAAACCTCTGAAAGCAAAGTTACTGGGAGGGAGTGGTTTGCAACACACAGTTACGGGGAGGGAGTGGTAGAGGGACCCAGGCTGGACCAGGTCTCAAACGTCAGTGCAAGGAGAAAGTCTGAACAAACGCTCTCCTGCCCTGCAGCTGTCCTCTTCCAAACACACCGGTTATCTGTCAGTTTAGAACAAGGCCTGGGGAGGCAGGAGGCGGGCCTGGGAGGATCACCTAGCAACCAAGCTCCTCAGGCGCACCACGCTGAGCTGAGCAGCACACACAAACACCAGTAATTCTCCCCAGAGAGAAGACGGAAGGCAGCACACTGCCACACCAGGCGAGAAGACCGAGGGGAGCCAGAGGCACGTTTAATCTTGCTTGCATGGCGGAGGGAGGGGAATAACGCCGCTCTCACTCAAGTGTTGCACAATTCTTTCTTAGCACTGAGCAGCAGAAAACAAAAATTATAGATGCTTCCTCAGAGAAATGTTTCCCAAGAACTGCACATAAATTACGTTCAAGAAATAATGCCTCAAAGCGCTTTTATTTTTAATAATCTCCAAGTAATTCTATAAAACCAGGAATCACAGTCTCACCCAGCTCCAGGATCACGGCCCAGGTGACGTGGGCACACACATCCTGAAGATCTAATGTTCAACTAAAGTGGGGGGAGTGAAAATGATCCTGGGTGTAATTTACACGGACACAGGAAGGTGACTGAGCCCGAAACCCCTAAACCAGGAAGACTGGCGTCCTGCAGAGGCTTCACCTCTGTCCTTTCCCAGCCTCTGGGAACCACCACTCTCTTCTCTACTGCCACAAACGCCGCTCCAAGGTACAACCAGGAAGATCATTCAAAACTGAGGAACGTGGCAGAACAGAGCTGTCAGGAGACTTTAATCACCAACAACACTGGTTACATGACCCAAAGATGATTAAAAACCCAGGCCCTTCAAGACTGAATGTTATCTATACTTAAATGCATTTAATCACCACATTGGGAGGTTATTCCTTTGTTTTGCTGCAAATATATCCAACGGCTGTAAAAGGAAAAGGCAATTTGTTAAAGAAGCTTCTTGGAGTGTCTCAACGGGCCTCAGAGGCAGGATAAAAGGCAGGAATTCCTGGCAGAAACGCTCGGCCCAGGGCAGGCGGAGTTCTTGAGCACCAACCAAGGCAAAACAAGGTCGAAGACCACACCACACTCTATTCAATCACGTCCTTCATTCCACATGTCCTTCTATTTCTCGAGACTTCTCTGGGAGAGAGAATTAAATTGTGCTGAGCCTCTGAAAGCAAATGGAAACACACCAGGGAAGGCCCTGCAGATGCTGAGAATGGGTGCAGCCGTCACAGCCCGAATGTCCTTTCAGGACCATCTGACCTGGCTGCGATCCAAGTATCCAAAGTGCAGGAATGTCCGTCGGACCCGTGAAGCCAGGATTACAGCCACTGAAGGGCAGTTTTCCATCCCACCGCAACCGGCCTTGTTAGGGGCTTCCTCAGGGACCACGACCTCACGCCACCACCCCTCAACTACTTCAACTAACTTACATCATGCCAGAGGCCTCTCCAGGCCGACCAGCCCTGCCCAAGTCTGCTTCACGGCAAACCCTCCAGGCAAACGTCCTTGGCCTCCTCCAGGAGGCTGTGCTCGAAGGTGCCCTCATTTACTTCTGTGGCTCTGAGACATTTAACTAGAGCCCAACACACCTCTTCCTGTTCACAGTATTGAGTTAACAGATTTTTATGGTGAACTTTCACTGGGAAGAACACCATTTCAGGAGCCCCAATGACCACAGTGAAAATGCTTTTTACCTCCCCTTACGTGACATCCGCAAGGCCAGGTCCAAGGAATGTTCTGGATCTCAGATAATGGCATATCCACTGTAGTAAGTCTTGGTTTTGTTTCACAAGCTATCAAACGCTGCCCCGAAGCAGGAAAAACCCCACAACGTGGCAGGGAGGGGCAACCAGCGTGAGTTCCAAGGCCAGACCACGCGGGTCTGCTGACAGCGTGGCGGGGGTAAACAATGCAGGGTCTAAGGTCAGACCACCCGGGTCCCGCTGACAGTGTGGCTTCAGGAGTTTCTTAAACCCTTTGCTCTCCAAGTTTCATGTCAGAAAAATGCGGTGATAACTGTGGCCACCTCGTGGGATGATGGGAACACACACAGTAACAGTGTCAGCAGGTGACTTGCTGGGCACGTGGCGAGGCCACACTGCTGTAGGTTGCCCCACATGAAATCCAATTCGTTTAAAAAAAAAAATACCCCAAACCTACAATCCTATAAAGGTCATTAATCCTAGCTATCCCTCAAGGCATTGAACGAACAATAATGAGCCATCCATCCCCCTGCTGCTGACCTGCCTCAGCCCCACCCTCCGGAAACTGAAACCCACAGCAGCCACTGCCTCAGCCCCACCCTCCAGAAACCCGCATCCACCACACAGGATGAGGGCAGGAAAGGAGCAGGACTGTGTCTTGGGAACTTAAACTCTGGAAGCTGAGTTAAATCAGTGCCACTCAAATCTTGTCACCAACGATCTTGTTAAATTGGAAGATTCTGTCTGGGCATCTCGAGGGAACCTGAGGCTCTGCACTGAGTGAGGTGAGCACTCGTGCTGGAATGAGACGTCAGGGAAAGCAACCGAATCTGGGGTCGCAGTTGCCGAGGCTTGGGTCCCACTGGAAAAGTGGCACCAGGGCCCTCGGGACAGTGGCGGAGGTCCCAGGAGCAAGTCCAGGTGCAGAGATTCGTGGACCCAAGGCTTGCTCCAGGGCCAGGAGGGGCTGCTCGCTGACAGCCACGAGGCAGGCAGCCTTCGAGCTCCTCCAGCTGCCGTCCTGCAGGCAGGGAGGACAGTGCCCAGACCACCCCAGGGCTCCCCCAGCCTGCCAGGCTGGTACTCTTACTCCAGCCACTGACAAGAGTCCCCATGTTCCAAGCTAGGTTGAAACAGTGCCCCAGGCCTCAGGGCACACGCACCCTGCAGGGCCACTCCTACCCAACACCTGGGGATGGTTATTCCCACACATCCCCAACTCACAGCAAAACTTAAAAATGAAAGTCGGAACATATAGCCAGGAAACAATGCTCAAGAAGCAACTCCAGGGTGACTCTTCCTAGAGCTATTGCTACTGAACATCTTTAAAAACATTTCCAGGGTGACTTCCTAGAGCTATTGCTGCTGAAAATCTTTCAAATTCTTCATTTCAAAATTAGCTTTTATTACACTGTCTCCCTATTCTACCCAGACTCTAGAAAACAAAATCATTACAAATTCCAATTCTATCTTACAGCAAGTTAGAAACACACGTTTCCTCAAAGGATTCTACGTGTTTCCACGTCTTTAGTGGCTGTCTCTTTGTGAAAAAAGTAATTCTGTCTGGAAGCAAAAACCACATTAGAAATGCTCTAAATAAGTTTCTTCCTCTTGTCAGGAGAGCAAAGCCACCGCCCTAAGCAGAGGTGAGGGCTCAACAGCTCCCAGGCAAAACCTTAACACACATGGGGAAGGCAATTCATTTCAAGATAGTTACCAAGGGCCACAACGTGAGACCAGCATAGCCATGAAAACTGCAATCATTTCACAACAGAATGAAATTCATAAAGAACTGCTGAGAAGCATGTGATAAGTTACATAAATCACCGTTCCTTAAATTCTGACGGTTGACTAGAACAGAAGTAGCTTCACGGTACAGTTCAAACAGGAGAAAGGCAGGGAGGGGTGGTTTCCACACCACACAGGGCCTTGCAGGAAAGGGACACTCTTCCTGTAAACGGGAGATCCTGGGAGTGATGTGATAAACCACGGTGACAGGCACAGAACTGTGCAAGCCGGAGTCGGGCCTGGTCCCCACCACGGAACTTGTGTCCGTGAACGACGAGGCTCGAATGTCAGGCCGGGGGCAACCGAGGCAGTTATCAGGGAAAAGAAAACGAGCGCACGGTGCGAGGCAAAGGTCTGAAACTGCGCAGCAACTTCGAGTCAAGTGGGACAAACTGACTCAAATACAGGTTCTAAAAACACCACAGCGAGCTG